TTTTTTTTTTTTTTTTTTTTTTTTTTTTTTTTTTTTTTTTTTTTTTGTGTGTGTGTTGTTGTTGTTGTTGTTGTTGTTGTTGTTGTTGTTGTTGTTGTTGTTGTTGTCAATTCCTACTGACTAACAGCTACAGCTACTTTGTTGTTGTTGTTGTTGTTGTCAATTCCTACTGACTAACAGCTACAGCTACTCTACTTGTTCTAATAATAATGTACACTACTCAATCTTCGACGGCTACCAAAATCCTAATCTGTTGCCTATACCTAATGACCTGCCTGTTTATACCCTAACTAGTATACAGTACCATACACCCACCCCTTTCGCTGTACAACAAGGCTGTTTTTTCATGCGCGTGGACACAAAGTTAGAGGTTAGACACAATCTCGGCCGCCCAGCCATGCAAGACTTCCTGGCAGGGCCCCGTGCAACCCCAGTGCAAAATAAAAAATAAATAATAAATAAAAAGGAAATCAAAAGAAAATTAGAAAAATAATAAAATTCAACACACTAGATTGTGTAGAATTGCAATGCAAGCAACTTTCCGGCGAGGGTCACCTCAGAATTCCTTACTGAATCATAGATAAAAAATAAAAAAAAGTAAAAAAAGTAAAAGAAGGCGCCCCCCTTTAAACCACCAGTACTTCCTGAAGCTGTGGCCGTTAACAAGCCACGATTTTAGGAAACGTACGGGCCACCGCCCAAATTCATTCGACTAGAAATGTTTTTACTCTATTTTTTCCAGCGGGCGATGGCAGCACCAAGTACTGGTCGTTTAAAATTTGAACCTCTTTGATCCCCATTCAAGTTTTATTTATACAACCCCCCGGACCCCCGCCCCACACCAAAAAAAAAAAAAAAACAACCACCGGACAACACTGAAAAGCAAAACAAAGCCCGGATTCGGGGAGCTATAGGTGAGTGAGGAAAAGCCCCACCAACGAAACTAAATGAACAAATATCATTCCTGGTGTTTTTGCATGCCCAAGGTAACCCGTGGGGGGGAAACGACCAGGCAATCTGCATGGGTGCCCGGCTGGGCGCCCCTGATAGGATAGCATTTCAAGTTTTAGGTCTTTTTTTTGGTCGAGAGAAACTCGGACTTTTACATGTTCTGTGCTAGGCTACCAGCCCGGGTGGCCAGCCCGTGCAAGGACAAGGGAGCGTCCCAGCAAAAAAACAAAAAGTCCAAAAAATCCGAAAAAAGACTATGTTATGCAGAAAAATAAACTGAACAACTTTTGCCTCAGGGTCACATCAAAATTCTTTACCAAATTTAGAATATAAAATAAAAATTTAAAATATTTTTTATTTTTTTATTTTTTAAATCTTTTTGGCCCGGCCGGGCAAGTGACCCCGGGCCACTCTGGTAGCCTATGTTCTGTGACATGGTTGACAAAAATGTTGTGAATGAGGTAGCAACATGAACAAGATATAAACTCCTTAAAGAGAGGCAAAGGCTATCAAGAAATGGCTATCAAGTGACGACTACCAAGAGAGACGGCTATCAAGAGACAGCTATCAAGAGACAGCTGTCAAGAGACGGCTGTCAAGAGACGGCTGTCAAAAGAGCGCGCTATCAAGAGATTGCTAAAAGAGAGACATTTATCAAAAAGTTACTTATCAAGAGACAGGCTAAGAAGAGATGGGGACTAAGAGAGACGGCCGTCGAGAGAGAGACGGCTGTCAATGGAGACGGCTGTCGAGAGAGACGGCTGTCAAGAGAGACGGCTATCAAGAGAAATGGTCGTCAGGCTATTAAGAGAGACAGCTGTCGATGGAGACGGCTGTCAATGGGGACGGCTGTCGATGGAGACGGCTGTCGATGGAGAAGGCTGTCGAGAGGGACGGCTATTGAAAGAGACGGCTATCAAAGAGAAATGCCCATCAGGTAGCTATCAAGAGAAATGGTCGTCAGGCTATTAAGAGAGATAGCTATAAGGGTATTAACTTTTAAGAGAGACGGCCATCAGGCTATTTAGACAGACAGCTATCAGGCTATCAAGAGAGACCGTTATCAAGAGAACAGCTGTCAAGACGGACGGCTAGTGAGAGATCGCTATCACGAGGGACACCGTTCAAACGAGATGACTATCAAGAGGGATGGCTATCAAGAGAGATGGCTATCCAGGGAGATGACTATCACGGCGTTGATGATGGATATGGCTTCATAGCATTCGCAAGATGTTGGTTTACTTCCAACGTAACTGATTGGCCCAAATGGCTTTGCGAAATTCACATTCATAGAGTTTAAAAGTTTATATTCTGGATGAAGAATCGCTCTGCAAATTTTGTGCACACAGTGTAGACGATTATGGAAAATTTTGTGCATGGAGTGCCGGGCAAGTAAAAACTCTTCTCTGTCCTTTTCCTTTTCCTTTTCTTTTTCCTTTTCTTTTTCCTTTTCTTTTTCCTTTTTCCTTTTCTTTTTCCAACGCGGATCTTCTCTGTATTGTACCGACTCTGATTGATATCTTTAAGTGCAGGCGCTGTCTAAAACTATACAGTAAAACTCCCCATGGCTCAAACAGTCAAACTACACCGTAAAAATGGCCCTACCTTCTTCCCCCGGATACAACGTACTGTCATTGTAACTATATTTGGGGTGACTTCCACTCTAGATACAGCAATAATGACTGTATGTTCTATTCGGGTGAAGAAGGTAGCTCAAACTACACAAAGTAAAACTGGCCAGGGTCCAGTCACACTCAGTTCAGTTTCAGGTGTCGCAAAAATGACCCGGGTTAGTACTGGTTTCCAAAACTGCCAATTGGTTCAATCAACTTCAATGTATAAAAGATGGTTTAATGTAACAAAGCGAAATTCAATCTCATGTCAGGGTATGTATGGCTACTTTGGAAGTGCTGGTTTCTGGATCCAAAAAACAGATTTTTTTTTTAAAGAAATGATGCGCCGCACGCTTCCATGCCATTCTGGTGAGTGTCAATCCGGTCCGTTTTCCCCATGATGTACATCAATGACTTGGCGGGGAAACAAAGCATGTGTTTCCACAACTATCCAGTAACTTTCTACATCTATGACACCAAGGCTGCGGTGCATCATTACTTTGAAAAAGGATTCCGTTTTCGAATCCAGAAACAACAAGTACTACTAAATTACAGAATTTATTTTCAGAGTAATGACGTACGACTCTGACCGCCAGGTCATTGATGCGATTCCGGGGAGTGTGTCGATTCGGCGATTTATGTGCCCAGGGGCGCCATGCCATTCTGGGGGACTGTGTCATTCCGCCGAATAATGATGCGCCGAAGCCTTGGTGTCCTTCGGTTCCAAGGATTCAATCTCGCCGCTCATTTTGCGATTTTGCGAGTCTGAGGGCCTAGTGTGAGTATGCCCTTCGACTTAGTCCTTTCACGGAAGTCTCACCCGAACGGATAGAAACGTGAGTGTGTAAATGATGCACATCAATGACATGGCGGGGGGAACCAGATGAAACCCCTCCATGAGCCCCATTTCTCCCCCTCTCCCCCCCCTTTAAGTTATTCATGTACACATCATTTACAACCCCCTAAGGATTCCATTCATTCCGCTGAATGGACTAAGTCTAAGGGCATACTTACACTAGGCCCTCCATATCACAAAATCCCAAAATGACCTCCCAGATTGATCCCTTGTACCCGAAGGACTCGATCTGGCCGCTTATTTTGTGATTTTGAGGGCCTAGTGTGAGTAGACTCAAAAATGAATGAAAAAAAAAATCAATAGCCTAGTCAAAGACACATTGGCGAACGATGCTCACCTCCAAAGGCTCCAGCTTTCTGCCATTTACTTCCTTGTTGATCACTCTTGGAGCTCCTACCATGAACTCGTAACCCTCTCGCCTCCTGCATCAATGGAAGTAAGACAGTCCAGAATAAGAAGGGGGTCACATGGGGCTCATGGAGAGGTTTCAGCGGGGCGCTCAAAGAGAAGGGCACAAAGAAACCAGGCCTGGGAACAGGTCAACCAGGGGTTCACAGAGGGGTTGAAAGGAAGAGATTCAAAGATAGGCATGCAAACTTCAAAGAGAAGTGTTCAGACTCAAAGACACACGCACACACAAACACACACACACACACACACACACACAGAGAGCTGATCCTCGCTAGTCACAAGCAAGAAAAGAGAGAGAGAGAGAGAGAGAGAGAGAGAGAGAGAGAGAGAGAGAGAGAGAGAGAGAGAGAGAGANGAGAGAGAGAGAGAGAGAGAGAGAGAGAGAGAGAGAGAGAGAGAGAGAGAGAGAGAGAATGAAGATAGTAACCGAGAGAGCAGTTCCAGGAGAGATTTAAAGAGAGGGTGACAAAAGACGCGTTTAAGAAATAGGGGGTTAAACCGCCGGTCCGTACGAGCCTCTTGTTTGGAAGTTTTTCCCGACACAGATTTTTGCTGCCCCCCTGCCGTGCGTTTCGCCTGGCGACGCCCCCAGCTTTTTCTGTCCCATAGGCCAAGCCCTCAAGGATGTGATGTGTTAACCGCTGGGTCGAAACATAGGTCGACATCTCAAAAATGTGCCGGTGGTTTAAGCGCTTCGAAAAGAGGGGTTGCAAGGAGGGGTTGTAAGACAAGAAGTTGCAAAAGAAGGGTTGCAAAGAGGGGTTGCAAAGAGGGGTTCCAAAAGCGGTTGCAAAGAGGGTTTGCAAAGCGGGGTTGCAAAGAGGGGTTGGAAAGATGGGGTGATTTTTTACCTTTGCCTGTTCATCCTTTCATCAGCTGAACATGGATAAAATAAATTTAATAATGCCTATTCATCCTTTCAGCAGCTGAACATGGACAAAATAAATTTAATAAACCCGTTGCAGGGTCTGCAATCGGGAACGGGCAAATCCAAGTTTGCTTAAATCGCGGGTGAAAAGAATTCCTTTTGTTTCACAGCCTTTCCTTGGGACACCAAAACTTTCCACGTCAACAACACTCTACGATTAGAGACATTTATTAAAGGGAAAAAGAAAGGACGGAAAATTCAAACAGAACAACACCAAAGAATCAGACATTTTCATTACACCATTTCCGGCATTTCGTCAAAAAGAAAAGAGCGCTTTGCATCATTCGCTGACATTCGCCGGAAAAAATAATAATAATAATAAAAAAAAATCCCACTCGCTGACTTACATGTTCTCGATCAAAATTGCAATATGCAAAGTGCCTCTTCCACTGACAATGAATGTGTCAGAGGTTTCCCCATCCTCAACTTTCATGGCCAGATTCTTCTCCAGTTCCTTGTACAGCCGCTCCCGCAGGTTCCTGCTAGTCACATACTTCCCCTGCACCCAGACAAGAATCCAGTCCATGTAAGATCACATGAATCATGCCCAGATTCATGGCCAGGTTCATTGCCTCCACTTGCCCACAGAGCAATTCTATACACAAGCAAATCATGACCAGATCCCTACTCATAATCAATTAATCATAAATCACGCAGTCACAATCAATCGGTCACAAACAAGTCGAAACAACCAATCATTAATCAACCAATCATAAATCAATTGATCCCGATTAAGTGGAATCAACCAATCAGCCGGCCAAGTGAGCATTCGTTGATTATGACTGGCTGATTTTCTCTTTTTCTGTTTTTCTAACGATTGACAGGTTGATGAATATGATTGACTGATTGACTGATTGACTGATTGTGCTGGAAGGACAGCTCTGTGGTGGTTATATGATAGATCGGCTGCAATTAGTTGATGATTAGCATTAGTTGATTAAGATTGGTCCATTATGATTGGTGAATTGTGGTTGGTGAATCATGGTTGGTTGATGATTATGAATTGGTTGACGATTATGATTGAATGATGATTATGATTGAATGATGATTGTGATTGGTTGGTGATTATGATTTGTTGATTACAATGACTTGATGAGGACGGGAAGACTACGATTGGTTGACGATTATGATTGGTTTTTGATTATGCGTTTATTACAATGGGTTGAAGATGTTTGGTCTACAATAACAAGAAGGGTCAGGGCAACTCCACCTGCATCAAAAATGGAGTATTAGTAACGATGCACTCATTGGGAGAGGGAGGACGAGGGAGGGCGAGGGAGGAGGAGGGAGGATGCCAAATCGGAAAACAGAAAGGAAAGTCCCACACAGCACCCCACCAACAACCTTCAGCACACAGTACGACACGACTTGTACTGGCGAATCTCTCTGTCTCACTCTCCTTGAAACTAGCCTACTTTTAACTTTGGCTATGCGAGGATAGTTAGTATGGTGCTGAAGCCAGCTAACATCCACTACATGCAACCCACAGCCGACAACACCCAACCCACAGCCCACCACACACAGCCCACAGCCTGCAATACCCACCCTGCCGCCTACCGTACCTAATCTGCCGCCTGCCGCAACCAACCCACTGCCTATCACAACCATATCCTGCAGCCTACCACATCTAGCCCGTTGCACCGCACCCAGCCGCATAGTACTGCGTGCTGCTGAGGGCATACTCACACTAGGATTTTTTCTACAAAAAGCTCTTGACGTTATTGCAGCAAGATTTCATCAAGGTGTTTCCGTCCGTAATTCCAGTCCGATGCATTTTGGGAACTGCTGCCATCTTCACCCGAATCGAACGCCCGGTAATTATCACCCTATCTGGACTGAAAGCTGCACAAAATACAGTATGATGACAGGGCATTCTATTCGGGTGGAGACGGTGGTCTGAGTACTATACCCTGAATTCCCTGATCGTTCATTCATCCACAGTCCGGCGGATAAATGGTCCATCGCCTTTGGTGCAGTGGGCCGGCCCAAAAAAACAGTAGTAGGTCGCCGTGGTGCAGCGGCCCGGCCCAAAAAAACAGTCCGGCGGATAAATGGTCCATTGCCCTTGGTCCGGTCCCGGACAGCAGTAGGAAACCCGTGTAGCAGTGTTTGTTTTGCCTGCGCCTGTTTGTTTGGTGGTTTTTTTTGCCTGCGCCTGTTTCCCAGCTGTTTGTTTTGCCTCCACCCGTTCTTTTTGCCTTTACGAACTCAAAACGTGACGCGGCCGCTTTCTATTTTCGTTTTTTTTTTTTTTCACTCTTTTCGGCTCACTCACTCCCGAGACCTCTCCCTTCCACCTCTCGACTTCCCTGGCACACCCTCACCTTCCTCCATCCTACCTCACTCGAGGAACATCACTCTCTACCGGAGCAACCTCACCGGACAGCAGAAAGGTCATGCAAATCTTCTGTGTACCGTTCAAATTTTAACAGATGTTCCCCAGATCTCATTTCTTTCTTTCTCTTCTTCTTTTTTTTTTTTTTTTTTCAAACAGTGGTGTGCATCTTCAGAACAGGGCAACTACCGTCTTCACCCAAATAGAACGCCCGGTAATTATCGCCGTATCTGGACTGAAAGTTGTGCCAAATACAGCTACAATGTGTGAGGGACGCCAAACCCGTTTTCCGGCTGGTATAATGAAAAGCGACCTCAGCATGAACCTGGTCGGAGTGCCCGGATCATGCCGGTAAGGTTGCTCCCCTTTTGAAAAAAAAAAAAAAAAAAAAAAAAAAAATCAGAAAAAGTTGAAGAAACTTCAAGAAAGGTAATTAGCTCCTTTCCTCAGATAGTGCATTTGTGTTAGACTTACAGTGACTGTCAACCTGAACTTTGTGTTTGACCTGAGATGGAGCATTTACCTCTTTTCCGGCAAATGGACTAATGTTCACCATGAATGACATCCGCACCGTCGGCTCCTCCACCTTGATTGTCGGCAGAGCTACGCCGTGCACCTTGCAAGCCAGAGTCTCGCCTATCTGTGACGCAAACAACAACACACAAAGCATGGTGTCACCTCACATCTCTCTCTCTCTCTCTCTCTCTCTCGCATGGAGTCACCTCACATCTCTCTCTCTCTCTCTCTCTCTCTCTCTCTCTCTCTCTCTCTCTC